TCTTTAGCTTCCCGCTGCAATGAAAAGCTAAGTCCTAGGTTTTATGGCCCTTTCCAAGTTCTTGAGAAAATTGGATCAGCCGCTTATAGGTTAGAACTACCAGAAACTGCCCGTATCCATAATGTGTTTCATGTGTCTCAACTCAAGAAGGCCAATTTTCCATCACCACATATTTAGCCTCTTTTGGATTCACTGAATGAGGACTTGGTCTTAGTTGTTGAACCGAAGGAAGTGCTTAAGCTCCGCCGGTTACTCAATGGGGAAAGGGAGGTTCTTGTGGGGTTACCCCACCATGAGAATACTTGCGAAGAATATGACACCCTGAAACTGCAATTTCCTTCATTCCACCTTGAGGACAAGGTGGCTCTCCTTCGGGAGGGTATTGATACAACACGCGAAGTGCGGGTGTATAAGAGGCGTGGGAAGAAGCACTAGGGGATCAATAGTGTTAAAAGAAGCAACTAAAGTGTGAATTGAAGGTAGAGGGACAAGTGGCGAAAGATTATTGGGGAAGGGATAAATTCTGTTAGGAGAAGAAATGAATAAAGGGAGCAGCAGAGAAGGAAATAGGCATCGAGAGAGAAGTTAGGAAAAAGGGGAGGTAGCTGGCCCTCGAAGTCCAGCATATCTGTTTCTATTATGTTCTATTGTTGGTTTCTCTTATTTTCATTGTTGGTTAATTAAATCCGGTAGATCTTATATTTGAGATACTATCCAGATTGGTGTAATACTGAGTTATCAATGAAATATACATATTTTGGAATTCTGGAATTCTCAAGGTTGCAATGAACTGCTGTTTTTATAAGCTATTGTGTGTATGAATGACTGAGAATTCTCAAGGTTGCAATGAACTGCTGTTTTTATAACGAACTCGGTCCGTTAAAGGAGGAGGTGAGTTCGAGCCGAGCCGAGTCGGACGAGCCGCTGACTTTCTAGCTCCGCTCAAACTCGTTAAGGGAGAAGGGGGTTTTGAGCTTGGCTCACGAGCCAGCTTAACGAGCCGATTTCGAGCCGGCTTGCGAGCCTTTACAAAAATAGGCAGTTTTTTGAAGTTAGCTCAAGTACATATACACAAGTGCAATACATCCATTTTGCATTAGCAATATAGAAAAAAACTAGGCAAAGTTATGTCTAGAAGCCATCAAAATTGACCCAGATTAATCAGTCACATGCTGCATCTTCCTAATCGTTTCATGCAAAGGCTTTCATTCAGATAAAAAAAAAAATTTACTAAAAGTTGGAATCAAAAGGCGTCGGCAATGAGAATGACCATAGGAACAATGGGCAATACCAACACGAGCGCAGCGACGAGACGACAATGACAGCAATAAGTAGGCGACAACAGTGGATGATGGCGACAACATGGTGTTGGGCAATGACGACAGCCTGGTGGTGGATTGGTTGATTTTTCCTTTTTCACTTTTAGGGATTTACACTAAATGGGAAAAGAGGTCGTGTTTTTGCATATTTTTACAAGAGGGGATTAGTCATTTTTTTAAAATATTAATGCAAATTACAATTTAATCCCCCATAGTTTAAAAATCCCTCATAGTCAACCCTATTTTTTTGAGCCAGTTTCGGCTTGCAAGCCGTTCGAGCTAAGCCGAGTGTTGATCGAACTTGGCTCGCAATTTGTACTAAACGAGCTTGACTCGAGCCGAGTCGAGCCGGCTCGCGAACCACTAGATTCGTTTACCAATCATACCCCTTCCACCTTCCAACCTTTAATGAATACCATATTCAAACCAGTCTTAAGGAAGTTCATACTGGTTTTTTTCGATGATATACTCATTTATAGCCCTGATTTAGATACTCACCTTCACCATATGAGACAAGCCTTCCAAATCCTTACTGAAAATGAGTTGGTAGTTAATTACAAGAACTGTATGTTTGCACAATAGAAATTGGAGTACTTGGGCCACTTAATTTCATCTAATGGGGTAGAGGTTGATCCTCAAAAGATTGACTTTATGTTGTCTTGGCCAGTTCCACGCACCATCAAAGGGTTAAAGGGATTCTTGGGGCTAACAGGCTATTACAGGTGTTTTGTGAAGAACTACATGTTAATAGCTCAACCTTTGACACAACTGCTTCGAAAGGATTGTTTTGAATGGAATGACCAAGCACAACAAGCTTTTGTGGTACTTAAAACAACAATGACATCAGTACCTGTCCTAGTAGTCCCAAACTTTAACCTACCATTCGAAGTTCACACCGATGCATCAAGGCAAGGTATGGGAGCTATCCCAGTCCAAAATCTATGCCCAATTGCCTTCCTTAGTAAAGCTTTCTCCTATCAGTCACGACAGAAATCAGTGTATGAGAGAGAACTTACGGCGATCGTATTTGCAGTCCACAAATGGAGCCACTACCTTATCGGGTGTAAATTCATTATTAAAATAGACTAGCGAAGTCTATAGTTTTTGACAGATTAAAGAGTGAAGACACCAGAGCAACAAAAGTGGATTTCTAAGCTCTTGGGCTTCGCCTTTGAAATCTATTATCAACCTGGTAGCTCTAACCAAGTTGCTGACACCCTATCCAGAAGAGAAGAAGGGACTGAGATGGCTACCATTTCTGTGGTGAAATTTTCAAAGTTTGATGAACTAGTTTAAGAAGCACAACAGGATCCCAAGCTTCAAACCATCATCCAAGACCTACTTTTTTATCCAACCAGTTGACCCTAGTATTGCCTTCGCCAAGGCTGCCTCCTCAACAAAAACCGGTAAGTATTACCGAAATCTTCTAAATTCATTCCTAAGTTGTTAGAAGAATTCCACTGCAATCCAGGGGGAGGGCATTCAAGCTTTTTCAGAACCTATAAAAGGGTAATTAATATAGTGTTTTGGGAAGGAATTAAGAAGGATGTACAAGAGTATGTGTAGAAGTGCTCCATTTGTCAGTTGAATAAGCATTCTGCTTTAAGACCAGCAGGTCTCCTCTAGCCATTACCCATTCCTACACAGGTGTTTGAGGATGTTAGTATGGATTTCATTGCAGGGTTACCCAAAGCCAGAGGGCAGGACACTATCATGGTGGTGGTGGATAGACTTAATATAGTCATTTCATGTCCTTGTGTCACCTTTACAGTGCTAAGGATGTGGTTGTTGTGTTTATTTTAGACATTATGAAGCTTCATGGTTTTCCACAGTCAATTGTATTGGACAGGGATAGGGTGTTTATCAGTCACTTTTGGCAAGAACTTTTAAAGGCAACATGCACCACATTGAAGTTCAATTCTGCATATCACCCTCAAACTGATAGCCAGACGGAGGTGGTCAATCGGTGTTTGGAAGCTTACTTACAGTGTTTTTGTAGCACTCAACCCAAGTAGTGGCCTTAGTGGCTGGCCTGGGCAGAATTTTGGTACAACACCACTTACCACAGCTCAACCAAAATGACACCTTTCAAAGCTTTAAATGGAAGAGATCCACCCACTCTACTCAATTTTACAGACTGTCCATCCTTGGTTGAAGAGGTAAACCAGCAAATGGCAAGAACAAAATTCCATTTTGGATGAGCTGAAGCATAACTTGACTGTCGCCCAGGGGCACATGAAGGAAAACGCTGACCTACACCAACGAGATGTCACTTTTCATCTAGGGGATCAGGTGTTTTTTAAGCTCCAACCATATTGGTTTAAGCCCTTGGCCAAAAAACTAAAAGAAAACGAGTCCTAGATTTTATGGTCCTTTTACTATATTAGAGAGGATTGGATAGGTTGCCTACAAACTGGAGTTACCACCTATAGCTAAGATTCATCCAGTTTTTCACGTATCTCAGCTCAAGCGCGGCTTGCACAATTCTGTCTCTATCCAACCCTTCCATCTTTTATAACTGAGGACCTAGAACTCATTGTTCAACTAGAATCAGTGTTGACAGTCTGCAATTTATTAGATAGCTGTAAGGAGGTCCTCATTAAATGGAAAGACTTAGCTCCCTTTGAGGCTTCTTGGGAAGCTTACAAAATCGTCAACCTGCAGTTCCCTCATTTCACCTTGAGTAAAGGTGGCTCTTCAAGGGGGAGAGGGGGGGATTGATACGCCTCTCATTAGTAAGGTCCACCAATATAAAGGCATAAAGGGCAGTAGGGTGATGGGTGTGTGAGGTGCATGTGTGCTAGTGGGAGTTGGTTGGGTAATTTTACATGTTGGGGAATCAAGTTGTTAATTGAAGGAATATTTTAGTTGAGGGGATTAGTATGTAAAGGGAGGTGCATTTAGGGAGAGGTTAAGCATATTTTTACAAAGGTCATTAAGGGAGGTCCCCAGCTCCTTAAACTGCTAGGAATTATTTGTTCTTAGTTTTGCTTGGATGCTGAAACCAATTCTTGTTAACAATTCTCTTATTCAATACAGTATTGTTTAATTCCAAATTTGAGTTGTCCTTTCTTTTGCCTTCTTGGATTGTTTGTGGTTGGATTTGTTCTAATTTGACAAGGGTTCCTATCACATTGTATTTTATTTCCAGTACCATGACATATACACTGTCTCTTAGTTCATACACTCATTTGCCTGAAAGAAACTATATTTTACTCTAATGTTCCATTTACTCTTTACTTTTCTATGTTGCACTCTCTTTTTCACAACAGTAGCTAGTAGATTCACACACCCTCCCTTGATTGTGAACACTCCTTTTGATGTGGAACAATCATACCTTATAGTGAGATTTTACACAATATCTTGTAACTGTTGACTGCTAATTATGAAGAGATCACTTTTTAGCAAAAGATTATCTTACTTTCTCAAAGAAATTTGTATTCTTCTAGAATAAATCTTCTACAACAAAACCTTCAAGCAAACAAAAATTTACACAGAAACTACCCAAACCAATTTCGATAGAAAACAGGTATCTTCCCAGGACTAGAATTGAATTTTCGTTAAGCAATAACAATTTTCTTGCCAAACAACCAAGCCAAGGATCCTGACAGGCTCAAATTGATTTATTCTATTCAATAATTCATGGCACAATAATAAAGGGTATAAATGTGAAAATAATACCTGTTGCTGGTAGATAAATATACGAAAGACAACTGCCCACATATCAGATGTTAGCAATGAGAGGTTGAACATTGCAGCTCCGCTCAACTGTGTGCGCAAAATTTTTTATTTAAGACAGTCACCATATATATTTCTAAAACACAATTTCATATTCAAGATATATTTTGTCCAATGACATTTTAATTTCATAATTAGTTCACTAAGCAATGAAATCAGAGTTCCTTAAAATTGTGTAAGAGAAAATTTTTTATTGATTGACATCTCTTTCAATTAACAGTACCAAATATGCAATCAAGAATTCGCATACACGTGAGGACCTAAGCAAAAAAGCAGGGAATTTTCATATAAATAAAGGCTCTACAATAAATAACTATCAGTAAAAGGAAAATGACCTTTAGAACAAAAGGAGCAAGTGTGTAGAACATAAAGCTCGAGATTGTATAGCCCACAAAACCCAACATCTGATAAGAAATAACATCAAATTTAGTTTCACAACACAGTGAAGGCATTCATCTGTGAAGAAGAAGAAGAGGAAATTATTATATAGGCATAACATATGATGCAAACGGAAAAGTTCCTACATCTTTCTTCCTGACTTTCATTTCCACTACCTTGCAGTAAATGAACTTATGCTTTAGCGTAATGTATAACGCTATGCACATTAGAAAAATTGTAAATTTTATTGATAAATTATTCTCATTACCTTAAAAGTCATCCTCTCCTTAAGTCATCACAGCTTTTCCTAAAACTAAAATCCATGAGGCTTTACTCAATTGTATCGGGAGTTTGAGCTTGTCTAAAGGCATAAACTTAATGTAAAAGCTTACATGCTTTTGGTGGTTTCAAAGATAGGTTCTCCCACCTAGAAATAAACCAAATAAATAGTAATAAGTTTTAACCCACAAGTTGAAAACATTAACATTATATCTAAGGTCCCTTTATCCTTCACTTCAAGTGAACTTTCACCAAAATTTATTATTAATGAAAAAACTTATGATGCTCACATACTTTTATTCATAGACCTAGATTTACTCTGAAAAAGTAATTAGTACTTCAGCTGTAGAAAACAAGCTGTCTCCATAGATATAAATTTATAATTTTATCTGCTAATTTATTCCACCAGACTTAAATTGAATCTCCTTCTGCCCAAATTAAATCATGAAATAGAACACTTGTTCAACAAAGAAGCAGAGGTAAACCTTATGCACAATTCATGAATTCAAATATTATATCAGAAAAAGTCACTCACAATATCTGTTGACCACTTGACTGATTCTAGACTCTTAAGCTCCAGAATTGATCTATGAGAAAGTTATGGAATGAAGCAACATTACATTTAAACTTCATCAAGAGTTACCTGTATTGCACTTTAAACAACTGTATCAAAGCTAAATAAGTATAAAAGGGAGTAGAAACTTTTGTGGCACAATAAATATCTAAATATATAATCCTTGTGCCTAACAGCAAGGATACAACTGAATCACGCTCACTAGCAGTCCATAAACACCAATCATGCAGACAACTTCAACACGATCCTTTTTCTTCACAAAAAATTCCTGCATTTGAGGATTAAGAAAAAGAATCTCAAAATGGGCAAGTATATCTTTCATTTTATGGGGAAAAAAAGGACATGTAGAACATGGTTTCTGCAGTCCTGGATATAGCAATAAACTAAATTGATGATATCAGTCAATGTTCAAATTTCATGTGATAAGTTTAAGAATCTTGTGTTTCAACTACTAGCCAACTGTCAAGGAATTGATGTCTTCTAGCGAGGAAAATCTATATATATATATATATATATATATAGAGAGAGAGAGAGAGAGAGAGAGACGAGAGAGCACTCGAGGGAGAGGAGGAGCTGGATGTAGAGAGAGAGACTGAGAACCGAGAGAGAGAGAGTTTAATGGGTTTTGCCAACCTCACCAACATTGCTCATGGCAAAGAAAAGTGTCCCAGCAACGACAAGAATATCACCCAGGAGAGGTCTTGAACCGCCTGAAAGATGGAAACATAATTGAGAGATACAATACAAATAATGACTATCACTTAAATTTTGTACTTCTTAACACACAGAAGTAGTTCTTTATAAATTTTCTCCTTAAAATTCCTGTAAATATCTATCAATTACAGAAACAGGTAAAATACAAGGAATATGTTAAACCAGCTAGAAATTACTTATAAACAAAATATTTGAAAAATAATTCTACAGCCCAGAAAATCAAATGGTTTGTTCTAAGAGATAGAAAAAGAAAATTTCACCTCCACCACCCACCCCAGCATCAGAAAGTAGCACCAAGCCAAGGCCCAGCACACAGAGGACTGCACCAAATAACTGCCATATAGAATATCGCGTGCCAAGGAAGAACCAAGTGAGGATTATTGCCCATGCTATTGTCCAGCAGTCCAACAGTGTCACACTGGTAATTGATGAGAACTGGAATGCTTTATTAACTGCATCAAGCACTAGGAAGTTAAAGATTCTGCAAAATTTATAAAGCATGTGCTCTAAAGTTCTAAGAATTCTTCTTCTTCAATATATATTACAGTTAACAAGGTTTCACTCTATATATAGATTATATTCCTATTTTCATGACATGCTTGAAGTTTACAAAATCTGTTGAAATATCTTAAGCTCTGGTTCTGCATGATAATTGTCCAGATGGATCATTTTATTTTTTTCAAATATATGCTAACAGCACTGAATTTCAAATACATCATTTCCCCACTTGTTGATTTATCCAAAATTATTCCATGCTTCATAAAGTTTCCAGTAAAAAATTTGGCATCATGCCTACATAATTGCTATCTTCAATTAGAGAAATTATCATCATTGTTATTTAGCCTCTCGTTTCTAAGGAACAAGACTATTACCAAGTCCACTAGCTCATTTGAGTCTTTGGCTCTAAGAGAGAGATAAATATAGAGATATCTACTAGTATTACTCCATTACTCACCAAGATAATTTCCTTGAACATCAACAAAGCCTAAGATTAGATACCAATACCAAGCAACCTGAAGACACATAACACATAAGTATACTGCACATCATAAAAATTACGATAAGTAAAATATTTATACTGAATCAATTAAAAACAAAGGCACATGGTAAGATAATAGTTGACTAGTTGCAAAGATAACTAAATTTACAGCGCTATATTGTACCTTGTCCTTTTTTTTTTACCAAAATTAAATGTCAATAAACCAAAGAGTTGCAATCGATACAGTTGAGTTTACTCCCTTTTGTGACCAGTAGTTCCGAACTATGAATGGTTAAACATGAACTTTTTTCACTAACTAAACCTTAATTTCAGTCCCTGAGTTGGGTTTAATGTTAAAGTAAATAAATCTTTGTAAGTTAATTATCAAAATAAGGGTGCTCCACATGTATTAGACGATGCTGTTTAGCTTGTCCAGTGCATTAGACAGTGCTAAAATGTGGAAATATGAGTGTATTATAAGCAAATAAATGCATATTTACCAGTGGTGTTTGACGTCTATAAAGCAATATACCACCATAAACCAAAGCTAAGAGGAGATAATTGAAGCTTGTCTGAGTAATAGGCGCATCAACACCTACAAAGACCAGACCCACAAAGAGGATTAAGTAACTGAAGCAGAACAAGTGAAGAAGCATAAAATCTTAACAGAGTCAACAGAATGATACCAAGCTCCGCAATTAAAGAAGAAGTGAAACTCATAAGTGCAAGAACAAAAGAAACTAGCTGACCCAGAAGCAGAAGGTACAAAGTTTTCAAGGTTACATGGCTTCTCAACCAGGAGCTAATGGCAACCCAGTTCATTGTAAAATTCTCAAAAAAGAAAAAAGAAAATTGACAAATACCAAATTGTGGAATTGAAAGGAGAAATATTTATTCGTAGCTGAAAGTGACTAGTGTACCTCTTTTATTAAGTTGCTTAAAAGTCAATTTCTGAGATTTGCAGCTACCCTTCTTTTATTCAGCAGTCACGGAAAGTGAGTGGTGTAACTGTTTTGGGGGTTTGCAGGCTGCAGCTACCATTCTTTTTATTTCAGACCAGGGCGGGAGAGACCCTTGTCTCACCAGACGGCAAGTGCAAGAATTGATTACATTTTAGTCCTAAGATTTTTGTTCATTCTAAGGACATTTTATTTTTTAAGTAAAAACGTGGATTTTGCTTGCGTAAGGTTACGCAGCTCTTTGCCTAGTTAGTAAATTCGTATTTTATGCGTGAATTATACATTCAGCCATATAATTTACATATAAAACACGAATTCTTGTATATTATAAGCACAGCTGAATTATATGCTCTAGTCGTATAATTCACGTATAATTCGGCCATATTTTTGTAAATAAAATTTTGTTATTTAATTTGCCAAAACGACGTCGTTTTAGGTGGAGTTTGGTCAGAACTCAAATGAAATGAAATCACTTTCTCTTCATCTTTTTTTTGGCACCCTCTTCCTCTCTTCTTCTTCAACTAGTCTTCAACCACTGAGGCACTAACCACTCTTCGTCTCTTCTTCTTCAACTTAATGACAAATAAAATTGTTTGTTTTGTTTGGTAATTGGTCCACTAGTACGAGCGACAAAAATTTTTGCGCTCTTCTAGGTGGTAGAATTAGTATCCTTTGGTCTCTTTTGGATACCCCACAAATATACACTTACAGGATTTGGACCCAGCTTGTTTGAAGTCAACTTCTTGACATAAGCTTCGCAACCCCAAATCTTTAGATAAGACAAGTTGGGCTTTCGCCCACTCCATTGTTCATATGGAGTCTTATCTACAGACTTTGAAGACACACAGTTCAATATGTGAGTGGCAATCTCTACGGCATAACCCTAGAATGATGCGAGCAAGTCATCATGGACCTAACCATTTCAAGTAAGATCCCATTCTTTTTTTCAAACACACCATTATGCTAGGGTTTATATGGAGAGGTGAGTTTTGATACTATCCCACGTTCCTTCAAGTATGTTTAACTCAACTTGCCATAGTTGGCGTAGTTGTTATTTTGAGAATATCCTTATGGTCTATCTTAAGAACATATTATTATGAAACAGCTCCATAAAGAATATTATTTATACTCAAAGACGACAATCCATTAGTAAGTAATATTCTCACTTGTCCTCAGTGGACACAGAAATAACATTTCTAGAAACTGAAGAAATATTATAATAGTCCACAAGTTCCAAGAAACAAGCCCGTAGGCAAAATCAGATGATAAGATCCTACAGTTAATGCAACAACACGTGCTCATTTCTAACTGATAGATCCACATCTCCCTTGGCGAGCAATCTACTCTGCCATAGTTCCTGCACATCAGAACAAATGTGAGTACCACAACTTGTGTCAATGACCCAAGGCGTTGACGGGAGAAGTTAATCCCAATCATGAATGTACATGACGAAGAAGTAGCATTCTTCTTCCTTTTTGCTAGGAAGGCCTTGCAATGTTTCTTCCAGTGGCTGGATTCCCACAGTGAGGACAAACTTCCTTCCTATCTATAGCAGTTCCTTCCAATGACTTCTGAGCATTTTCTTTCTCACTTGAGTTGGCTTCAACCAACGTCAATGTTTCTGACATTTTCATGTCTGACTTAGTAGCCTTCAAGATATCCAGAAGCTCGAAAAGGGTATTCTTCTTATCATCCTCAATGAAGTCATAGACAAACTGAGAGTAAGAATCTGGCTAAGACTGTAATATTAGGTCTATCGCTAAACCCTCATTAAGTCTGCATCCCAAAATCTCATGCTTGTTCATATACTCGGTCAACTTGAGTATATGGTCACCAATTTTGGAACCCTCTTCCATCTTGCATTTGAACAGTGATCGAGACACCATATGCTTCTCATTTCTCTGGAGAAAATAAAGAATAAAAGCTAAGTCCATATATTGTCACTACTATCGCAGTAATGGTGTCATTGATGCAAGCACAATATATCTTGTCATTTCTGCTTTTGTATCATGTGTATGATTCATATATACATACCCAATCTGATGGATAGAACTATCAGCAGACTCTAGTGACAAAGTCTGCTCAATGGTGTATAATCTATCGCTTGACTGAAGTATATTGTTTATACTTCTATACTAGTCAACGAAATTCTCACCATTCCATTTGTCGCCTAGTTCGATGATTTGTCACAGTGATGACGGGATCATATTGCTCAATTTTTAAGTGAATCTACAAGGGAAGAATAAGTAAATGTTATTACAGTGTTTATTATTATTATTAAATAAGGCATTTTATTAAATAATCACTCCCACTATTTTCCTCAAGCAAATAAGCCTCACTATTAACTCAAGAAAGCCCGTTGGCTTTCCTAGTGGACTGAGATCCTAGCTAGCCCATTTCAAACCTTCACTTTGGTGAACAAGCCAAAATAGGTTGATTAGGTCGGCCAACAAACTTAATCCACATTAGTTGATAGCTCCCACTACCAACCTCAAATGTGAAACAAGCCAACAAGCCAAGCACACAATACGATGACTGAAGCCATTGTCCTCAAGTGTGATTCTCAGTATCAGTAGAGTGGACACTACATGCTGCCACGTACACATAACAAGTGTACTTCTCTACTATGCCTATGACATGTTTATCAACCTTCGCTTTGGTGAATAAGCAAAACATGTCATTTTAAGTCAACCCATCACCATTAAGGAAAACTCCAATGAACTTTAACCTCCCACTGGTAGAAGTGTACCCTTCGGTTTGGCGAACAAGGTTCCAACGAACAGTGGTTTGATTAAAGAAATAGTGACGGAAGACATTTCAATTTTGACTTAATATACTTTAGTTGAGAGGTTTTTTTATTTTATGTCTCACCAATTTGATCTTTCTTAGCATGTTATAGTCATAACATACACCCTTAGCATGTTATACTAAGCGTAAAATAAACATGTTGGTTCATAGCCTTAACTAAAATCGATTTTCTCAAGTCAAGAGGAATCGGTAGGTCAACCTAGGTTTAAAAGGAAATGGATTCTTCAAGTAATTTCGCCTCCTTCCCTTCCATCGCTTCTTCTTCTTGAACATCACACAACTTTCAAAAATAAAATTACATTTTACATTATTGAAAAGAAACCTTGAGTTACATTCGAGGGGAGTGAGATGAGAGAAAGAAGTTATATTGGAGGTTTAGAGAAAGGCAGGGCACATAGGCCTTATTTTAAATTACATAACCCAAAGCAATTAAACTAGGTTCGTAGGCTTATGCACCAAGCACCATGCATATTCACAAACAAGAATCATGCATAAACAATCAAAATTTATTTTGACTAGGTTGGTAAATTACAGTTACCCCTTGAATTTTGGCAATGTTGCATTAAAGTCCAACAAGTTTTAAAATTTTCATTTTAGTCCCTTTTTATCGGGCCTCACTCAATTGGGCCCCTAGAATGTTTCTAACATGCAGCAACATTTTTTTTTTAGAAAATTATGGATTAAAAATACCACACAACAATGCGATCACAACCCAAAATTTAGCCCATTGCATCTTTACGTGGGCTGCCCAAAAAAAATCCAGATTTGGTGCACGTTTTAATGTGCACCAGATCAGGCCCTTGGCTCAAAAACCAAGTGCCAACCGAGGCCAAGTTCTGGGAGCACTTGGCCACCACGGGGTAGCCCTAAAATAGCAACCAATCAAGGGGACAGCAGCGGTGCATTCGCATGCACCATTGCTGCGTGCGATAGCAGCTTTGGTGTAGTCGCACAAGGCTGCTACTGTGCCGTTTGTGGCAGCACAACCCAAGCCATGTGCTGGAGCTTGTGGCCAGCACTCCGCCCCGTGCGACAGCGCGCAACAACCACACACAATCTGTGAAGCAGCAGTGCGCAAACTTGTTGTTGTCGTGCGCGGCAGCACACAATAACAACACGGCACCCTATAAGGCAGCATCCTCCTCTGATTGAAATCAAGTTTTATTTGATTTCAATCCCCCAAAAACAGATGGCAAAAAAAAAAAAAAAAAAAAATTAGCAACACATCAACCGCAATAGATTTTTAACACCAAAAAAAATCAGTTTTTACACATCATGCAATAACATAATCAATACATATCGAAATCAATTCAACCAAAAGTCGAATAACAACGTAAAAGGTATAAGGAAGGCTCTGATACCACTGTTAGTTGCTGATGGGGTTTACGCAGCGGAAAACAAAAATAAAATCCCCAACAACAACATTGAATCTAAGAACCTTATACCCAATTTATGTTATTTACATATGAAATGATATTGAATATAAAATTTCCAGATTTCATACCAGCGTTTGGAGGCTCCTTCAATGGATGCGAATCGCTCCCACTCTAAGATAAGAGTGAACTCTCGGTAACCACACGAAGATAGGATGGCGATCGACTTGCAGTCTCAAGTGCTAGCAACACACACAAGCAAAAGAATGCATAATTTTTCTTCAAGAAAAATTATCTTCTCCACCAAGTGAAAAAACGTGAGAGAGTGAGGTGAGTGGCTTGGATTTAATTAATGTGTTCTCTCATTTTTATTTTTATTTTAAGTTGCCTTTTATATGCAACAAAAATTAAAACCCTAATCTAGTTAGGAATAAATTTATTCCATGACTAGTTTAGTAAATTAATCCTCATTACCAAACAAGGTAATAATCCACATGGCATCTTATTCAAATTCAAATATGATTTTCATATTCATATATTATATTTATTAATATCATCAAATATTAATATTACATAATATATATATAATATTTAAATATATGAATATATTTAAATACATAATCTTACTAATTTTAATTACAATATGAAATTAAATATAGGCAACAGCCTTAACAAATTTAATTGCATACCGAAAATATCCTTTCCATCATAAATGACAAAAATACTCTTTCATCACA